TATTCAAGCAAAATATCTTCAAATGTGGGGATGCTTTCCCAAGGGCTCTCACCACAAATCTTTATAATAGCATAAGGTTAACATACAGAAAAGCATGTGAACTTATAAGGGTTTGAATAATTTTATAAGCTAAATATACTTGTATAATTAGCACCAAAACATCAAACAGGACATTGTCAGTACTTCAGATATCTTCCTGTTGTTTGCTGGTGATCACACAAGTTCTTGTAAAAGGAAAACACTATCCTGACTTCTAATGCAATAAGTGCTTTTGAATAGTATTAACTTTTCTCTTGCTATTTATTATACATTGAATACAGCTTGACTTTTCCAAGCTTAATGTTGAAATATTTCCTTCGTGCTCATTAATTGTATAAAATAATAGGTCTTATGACATTTCCATACATACTTATAACATACTTTGATCATATTCAATCTCTGAGAAATTATCCTCTTTTGTGTTGGAGCTTGATTTCTTTTTATGGTGGTATTAGGAAGTAGGGACCTTTAAGAAGCAATTATGTCATTATAATAATTAAGATATAGCTCAAGGGAAAGGATGAGTTACCTTGAAAACGGTTGTTATGAAAGGAGGCCACATGCCTCGTCTTCTGCCTTTTCCACATGTGGCCACTTGTCTTATAAACCTCAGAACATGAGTTCAATTCCCCAGGACCCATGTAGAAATGAAGAGCCAGGCATGGTGATACATGTTTGTAATACCAAAGCTGAGGAGGCAGAGGCAGGCAGATCCCTGGAACTGGCTGACAGTCAGGCTTAGTAGGTGAACCCCAGTGACAACACTGGAGGTTGACCTCTGGCTTCCACACACATGTGCACACAGTTATACACCTGTACCTGTGTGTGCATGCACACACACACACACACACACACACACACACGCGCACACACGCACGCATAAACTGGAAAGAGAGGCAGATTACATAATATTTTTAATTATGGTTTGGTGACTGTGGATAAGAAAACTATTAGCTTTATCTCTGGAGCCTTGGTGATTCATAAACTCACTCTCTCAAAGCATCATTAAAAGGGCTATCAATCAACTTGTGTTTGTATAAAGTTTAAACAACTTCCTTTTGGGGGAGTATTTAAATAAAGGTTTAAGATTTTGGCTTAAAAAGACTCAAAATATTCTTGTCAAGAGAAAAATGACTATGCTATCTAAATTACAAAGAGGTTAGGGTTTGACCTTGGGCCTATTCACTATTGAAAAATCAGTCTAACTCAGTCTCGATTTCTCTCATCTTAAAACTTGGTCTTCTGATCCCTGTATGAATATGGTTTGTTATCAATAAAAGAAAGGTGTGCTTCTTCTGCTCCTGCTTTTGTCGTTACCCTTGAGGCACATGCCAGAGATTATGGAATTGTGCTGATTTTAATTTTTGGACCTTGTTTCCGCGCTGTGCCCATGCAGTCAAGATTCGTCTAGTTTCACAGAGATGGAAACAAGCTTAATGATGTGCAGAACGTTTGTCTTGGTGACATAAAAGTGATGCGCATTTTCTCCATGTACATACCACTGGGTTGAGCTCTGTGTGACACCCCTCCTCCCCTATCTGTCTCCCTGTCTGCTGTAGAGTCAGAGATGGGGTAGAGACATAGGGAAGGCAAAAGGATGACTAGAAACATTTAACACCTCTTATAATCTCTGCTAAGCATTTTACCTAAGAACAGCTCAGTTTAGATGAAGAGTTGATTAATACAAGCAGGTATGTAGAGAGCTGCTAAAGAGAACACACAAGTCAACAGCTGTGATCCCAGATCTCTTCTGAGACCTTCCTGAAAGCCTTCCTTCTACAAAGAGTTCATCATGATGAAACTTCAGAAAGATCACCAAGAACATTTATTTATTTGTTTGTTTTTTGTTTTGTTTTTGAGATAGGGTGTGCTGTATTCCAGACTGGTCCCCGAACCTCATTATGTTGCTGAGAGTGACCTTAAACTTCTAAATCCTCCACCTCTGGAGTGCTGGGATCACAAGCCTGAGCCACTATGCCATGCTTTATGCGGTACATGTGATTGAGCCTATATAGATTGAACCAGGTCTTCATGTATAGCAGGTTGGCACTGTCCCCACAGAACCATATGCCCAGAAAGAACATTTCTCGAAGTTTCGAAGCTACATGCCCAATCATCTGGTCTCAGTTTCTACATTTTCCTGAATTAGATGATCATCTAATTTTACTTTTTAACATGAAAAAAATCATAACTAATAAAAAGTCAAACTCCTCTGACACTTCCACCTAAACAGGTCCTTGCTTTCCTGGACCATACAGCACCTTCCTAGCTATTCATATGTATCCAGTCTTAGTCCCCATAATTTCTGCTTTTCCACTGCAACCTAAGTGGTCTTTCTCAAGATTTACAACCTCTCCATTCTCTAAATGCACCACCATTATCCTCTCAATTACCTAAATATGTCAGTCTATTTTTCAGTTCCTTGAGAGTGCTGTGCTTTTTCTTCTCTTTCGTAGGAGAATGGCTGCACCTGCTGGTCTCATTTGTTTAATCACAACACCTGCTTTTTCCTCTCATTGCCAGTTCCTTCTGTTTTAGAAAAGGTAAGGGACTTGTTCAAGGTCACAGGCAAGACGATACTTGAACTTTGTTTCATCCAACTCTATACTATTTCTGAAGTCAAATTTTGTTCCTTTAACATTTAAAACAATTACTCAAAGGAGCAGGGCTCCCCAGGTTGAGGGTTAGACATGCTATGCATCTAAGTTCTGATTAGTGCCACTAAGGGTTAAGAACTGGGTTCCTTTACCAATGCAAGTACAGCGTGACAGAATGTTCCCCAGTCTAGTGCTTTAACTTTAATACCATTTTCCCTAGCTAGACACATTCTAAAACTTGAATGATAACTATAGATAGATATAAATGCTGAACACTGATGCATTATTTGAAGTGAGAAAGAAGTTATTTCTACATTAAACAAATTAAGGAACCAGGAATGTAGCTCTCTCTCTGTGTCTCTGTCTCTTTCTCTGTCTCTCCCTCTCCTCTCTCTCTCTCTCTCTCTCTCTCTCTCTCTCTCTCTCTCTCTCTCTCTGTGTGTGTGTGTGTATGTGTGTGTGTGTTAGGGTTGAAGAGAAAAGAAACTATGAGAACTTCAATTTTGTAAGAGAAAGCTCATTGACATTCATGTCTCTTCAGACAAGACCAGGGAGAATAACAAGCTGTATTCATACTCTGATACTCTGTCTCCTAATCTTTCTACTTGGGAAATACTTGCCTCTATTTATGAAGCTATCATATAAATTTTATAAAGTGTTTTTAAATCTTCATAATGAGTTGAACATAACTACAGAAAAGATGCTCCATGCTGATCCCTTACCATTGAAAATGAACCATCTTGGGGGATTCGGTAATGCTTTCTTCTTAGTTGGCTGGTGGTTTCCCTCATGTCTCATTGTGTTATACTTTAAAGATTCCAGAAATCCAGTATAATCCTGATTTCCGTAACCTCGCTCTTAAATATAATTCTAACTGATGTCCCTCCAAACTGTCCTTTTGAACAAAACTCAGAATCTTAAATATCAGCAGATAAGTATTTTGAGCTGACTTCTGCTGGTACTGCCAGCCATCATAATATGCTCAACCCCCACATCATAGAAACACCTCTCCAAGTATCTGATTGCTTGAGGTTATCTTATTCTCACATTGTTTTGAACTGCAGTCACAAGTAAAATTGGTATATTATTAAAACTTGTCATAAGCTGCTTTGATTTCATAACATAACAAGAACCAATAGAGCCTGTCTCCAGCACTGTTCTGAATCACTGTAAATTTACCTTTAAAAAAACTCAGCTAAGAAGCTTATGAAGTAGGTGCTTTATTTTCATTTCACAGATGCTAAAATGAAACCTTAAAACAATTTAATAACTTTCCAAGGTTCATTGAGCTACTTGCTCACGGGTGGTAAGAGGAACATTAAGATACACTGCACCTGTAGAAAGCACATGTGGAAAGCCAGCGGCTTTGATTGATTGAGTTCTAATTTAGCATCATTTTTGACAATTTCATATGCATCCCATGTATATTGTGATTTGTGTTCATATTCACACACTAGTCTCTAATTCTCCCCTGCAAATTTCCTTCTTCCTACTTCATGTCATTATTATTATTATTATTATTAGCCACTGACTTTAGGTTTGCTTTTCCAAGCATTGGAAGACGATTATTTATTGGCGCATGGGCAACTGACCAATTGCTACACCCCAGATAATGACACCCGTCCCCTTGCAACCATTAACAGCCAATAGCTCCTCACGGAGAGGTGAAGCCTTATAACCAAACTGCCCTTCAATCCCCCAATGCATGATGGAATGCTGAAGGGCCCAGTTTTGTGCAGTACTTCTGCAAGTGTCCCCAGCTGCAGTCTGTTCATCAGTGTAGTCATCATGTCATCTCCAGAAGACAGGATATACTCAGTTTTGTAAAGTTTTAATTGTGCGTGTCTTTTTCTTTGTGTGGGATTGTACACGTGAGTATACATGCCTGTGGAGGACAGAAGAGGGTGTCAATGCTTTGGAACTGGAGTTACAAGCAGTTGTGAGGTGCCCACTGTGGGAACTGGGAAACAAACTTGGACCCTCTATAAGATCTTAGCTGCTATTAACTGCTAATCTATCTCTCCAGCTCCGTCTTCAGTCTTTTTTTAAAGAAAGGAAAGTAAGACTTTTACTTGGTGCATACTATGGAAGATACAGTCCAAAGAGCAAGACGTAACTCTAAGCAGCATGTGTTTTGGCTTTCCAAAGTGAGACTTTCTTACAACACATCTGCCAGTTTTTACATGTGCAAAATACAGGTACTTTTCATGAATTATATAGAGGATTTGCTATATATTGAACTCAATTTCATCCTATCATTGCATTTTCAAGCCTAAGCACTTGTGGTTTTCATGTTAGTTTGTGAGGGGGCAATTCTGTAAAATTCTACAACCTACAAAAAAAAAAAAAAACAACACAACACACTGAAGCAGACAAGCTATAATATATTTTCATAATATAGAACTTTAAGGTATAATAATCAACAGTGGCAAAATATTGGTCTTTGACATGATTTTTGTGTATGTGTGAGATCCAACCTGTAATGAGACCAGAGAAAACCATATGGAAAAACAAATCCATGTGAACAGAATGAAAAATACCATGAACAGCAAAATATTTCTGAGTATTTAAAACCATATAGAAAAAATAAATTAGATGAACCATTGTGTAAATATAAATTAAAAAAGATGACATTCTTAATAAATAAAGTTTACTATTTACATTTTTATATATTGCTGAAAGACTTAACTTAGATCCATAAAAACACATAAACAGGAAAAAATAAAACCCAAAATAGGAGCAGCAAATTTATGCGCGTGAGGTACAGAAAAGGATTGGAGTTGTATTTAGTTTTTGGTGTTTAGATTGTTTTCTGTCTTTTTTTATTTGATTTCTTTCTTTCTTTCTTTCTTTTTTTCTTTTTCTTTTTTTTTTTTTTTTTACAGTAGGCCAGTAGATTTTCATGAGAACAGATTCTAAGCACTTCAATGGAGAGTCATTTTTGGTAGCTTCCAGAAGGTGCCAAACAGATTTCAACATCATAATAATTAGAAATACCCACAATAATTAGAACAATAATAAAAAGATATATGATACATAAATATGGAAGAGCAGTTTGTAATATGAATACATTTTCTCTAGACGAGATCACAGTTTTATTTTGTAAATATTACATTTAAGTATATATATACACACATATATGTACAACTATATATACATGTGCATATATATGTAAATTTTTATTTATATATAATATCTTTATATAGATAGATATCTGCAGACAGGTTATTGATTACAGAGACCCAAGAAAGCAATTCAATAATTCTTTGAAGTTCTCCTCACTGACTGCTGGTGTATAGTTTAAGAAGCCCCATCTTGCTTGCCTTCAGAATGTCACTCTCTTTCCTTAATGAAACACTTGATGTGGAAACTTGAGTCTGAAAAGTAAGGAGCCTTCTGGGGAAGAGACATGAGACCCTTTTCCTTTGTAAATTGGAAATGGCCCGGAAATCTTAATAGATGACAGTAAACTGACTTTCACACTATAGGAAGTAATTGGCTTTTGATCAAATTATTGAACTGGCCAGCATAAGGGAGGAGAAACTAAAGAATGAAATATTCTCCAGGACACTCACTTAAGGTGGACTATAATCCAGGAATTCCAGCTCTGCACCTTGAAGTATCAGTCAAGCACTCCTTATTTCTGGAAAGGGCAATGGGCCTGTGCATTTTAAAAAATAACCCTTGGATTTTGTATCAAGCCCTGGTTCTCACAGATTGCCACAGTCCATTGAAAACCTCAGGACCTCACGATCCTCTGTCCTCCCACTGTGAGGTAGGTAAGTAGTAATATCCTCATTTTACAGCTAGAGAAACTGAGGCAAATGTGGAGGCAATTGGATGACTTGTTCAAGATCACTGAGCAAACTACTGCCTGAAGTCGCGCATCCTAGAGCTTTATGCCAGGCACATAAATGTCTATCTTGACAGTTATTCCATTTCTCTTAAAAGTAAATGATTATTAGGAATTTGGCAAAACTTGAATAAATTACAAAAAAGGCTTTTATTGTATTCATTTGCTATTTAGTTTTTAACGTCACTTATTTACTTGGTCTGTTTTGTTTCTCTAAATTCATTGGGATCACCTGTCCAGTCATGTAACAGCTTCTTAGGCACTGGGCTGCACTGTGTGGTTCTGGGTGTAGTCTTTTGGAAGCCCAGGGCCACACTGGCATACACAAATATCTTATAGTGGAAAAAGTATGACACTATATGTGCCCTTAACATTAGGGAAAAACCAATATCAAACCATCCCCACTCCCCTCTACCATGTATAGCCACCAAACAAATGAACAAAATACCCCACTGACTACAACTCAAGGAAGAAAATGCCTTCTTTCCTGGACCTACCACAATGTACAGAAAATAACAGACAGTGATATAAAATCCAACTCTATGTCTTCTAGGGAAATCTTTATGTTGTATCTATCTACTGAGTCTGCAGAATAAACAGTTTCCATTAGGAAGCATAAAAATAAGGTTCTTATTTTTAGGTTTTAATCATGCATTTTAGTTCCTTGTAATCGTATTGTCTTCTAGTAATTTCTATCTGTACAGCTTTGTCACCATCAATTTCTATTTTCTCACTTGAAGTAGTTCCAGAAAAAAATCACACACACACACACACACACACACACACACACACACACCCTCAAAACTGTTAACATGACTGACTTTTAATGGTTCCCTTCCTCTTTTTTTCTTTTCTTTCTCTTTCTTTCATCTCTTCTTCTATTTCTTTAAAAAAGAAAACTAAAACAAAAACAAAAATACAGGTAAGGCCTATAAAAAATTGACAGTTACAGCAAAGCTAAATCAAACCTGGAAGGGAGGTAGCTGAAATCTGTCCCAAAGAATTATTTTCAACAAATAGCATTTAGGCATTGGCCAAGGTGGGAATAAGACCAAGAGAACTGTCTCGGCAGTGACCCAATGCGCTGAAGCCAAGAGTAGCAGCTGATACCCTCCTTCTCCAAAGGCCTGCTATTTAAGACTATTAATATTTCCCTTCCTCTGCACCCCACTTCACCTACCCACACTGACTTCCCAAGGACTGACTGACATCCCACACTGACTTCCCTCACAGGCTTGTTGGCACAGAATCTGGGGGTAATGCAAGTCCTCTGGGCAAACAGTGAGGGTTGTGGCTTGGAATGGTTTTCCAGATGGGGCTCAAAGAACTGTCCACCTCATCTTTGATTCCTTGCTGCTGACAGACTGATGCTTCCTCAGCTGCACAACTCCCAAGTGTTTTAGGGCCTCAAAGCTGTGGATGCACAGCAGAGCTTCAGATCCGCCTTCTCCTGATTACACCATTGTCCTAAACAGATGACTGAGGGGATGTGATGAGGAGTTTATTCCCAGGAAGAAAATGGAACTGGGAATTAGTGCATTGAATAAATAGAGCTGACTGTCCTGTACCAAGGTCTGAAAAGAGCCTGTGAATTACACATTCCTTGTAGGCACGAGACAGGTCACCAATCATGGAGCCTCTTTTGTCTAATATCCTTAGCAAATACAAATTTGTTAGTAACAGGTTTGAATGACAGAAAGGAGGTGACCGGGTGAGACTTCACCTGAAAGAACCCAATTCAGCCTGAGTATCTTAAAATAAGAGCCAGCCTCTTAGAATCTTGGGAGTACAGGGACAGACAGAAGCAGAAGTGAGGGTAGAGTTGGATGAGAATTGATTTCAGAGAGGCTCATAAAATCTTTCTGTGGTTTCTGTAATCTGACTTTTAGCAACGTACTGCTTATGGGTATAATGAGCCGTTGGTAGGGCTGGCCCTTCAGTAGCTTGCACTATCTAAGCTGACATGGCACATCTGGGGCAAGGGATGGCCCAAGAGTTGACAAGAGTTTGAAGACCTGGAAAACGATACACAATAAGGCCAACTCTCTTAATAGTGTCTTTAGTTTTTGCTAAGGGTTGGTCCTGGTAATTGCAGGAGAAAAGAATGCCCTGGATATAAATTCAAAATGATTTTTGGTAACGAGGCAACATAAAGGAAAAGTGCTTGGCCTTTGCAAGGGAGGCCACCTCTCCATTCTAGACCTCAAACTCTGAGGCTGTAATACAGGACAAGCTACATTAACTAAGCACTGTATCCTTATTTATGGGCACCTGTGCAGAAAGCACCTTGGTATATTTAGTATAGCAGACCACAAACGGCCAATAGATACTTTTTCAAGTGTTCTTGATCATCCGGAAAAGGTTATTGGGTATGATATAAGAACACAGTTTCTAGAGTTACTTTTGGTCCCAGTAGTAAAAGAAAAGCCATGATGGATTAAAGATGCCTGCCTTAGATACTGGAACCAGGAGGTCTGCACATGAGTTGGCATTTTCCATTTCAGTTCATTTGCTTTCATTGGTTGTCTCCACCGGACTTGAGATCAGTTGATGTGCAGTCATCTTTGTATTACACAATTCATTTAGATCCTCCCATCATCTCCTTGCTTCCCAGCTCCACATTTCACAAAGTATATCAAATGTAACTACTTTCTCCACCTCATCCTGTGTTAATCTGTTCCCATATTAATTCAGAGGGCGTGGACAGGTAACTGAAAAGAGGCGAGGAGGCCCTGAAAATATTGTTGGCATTCATATGCAATTGACTCATTTCCTCTTAACATTTGAAGACTGAATATGGGAAGGAAAACAGGGTTGTCCAGCAACGGGTGTGGAAAGAAGTATTGGCAGCTGGAAACATGTGTGGAAAATGTGATGACTGTTGGGTACTGAGGCTTAATCTCCAGGACTTCCCTCTGATGTTCCTCTAGCATACAATCCACATTAACCACATCCAAGATAATTTAGAACTGTATCTATTTAGAGCAGCAGTGAGCTTCTTGTGGTCCAATTCCTGCTCTAGTTCAGGAAGCTAGGAAGACTGGGATAAGGACAAGAACCCAAGTTCTGACTATTACAACAGCCTCTGGATGGCTTTAGCATCCCCAAAGATTAACACTGTTCCACTTGAACATAAAATCTAACACTGGCTTAGACATTCTGGTCTCACATGAAGGGCTCTAGCATCTGAAGTTCCTCAACTCCCTGAATGAGAAGTCCACCCAGGGAGGACATAAGCCCATGAAGGTTTCTGTCTTGCAGAAGGGCCATGGAGTGAGGAACTGTGAAAAAAAAGAGAATCACTTTTAAGGCAGACTACTTGGTTGTATGGAGTTTGTTCTAACCTAGTTTTACCATCTTGGGGCACTCAACATGTAAGAAAAGCAGCAGGAAAAGTAGCAGCAAATGTGGTCCCAAGGTAAGATCTGGGGGATGGGTGGGAGCCAGAAGGAATATGATGACCTCACACCTCAAGCAGGGAGCCGGTATAATACCTTGACTTGGTAGTCCTTAGCCATTTCCAGCTAGGCCTTGCACCCGGGTGTTGGGGCAAAATCCCCATGGCAGCAGAAGAATTAGGGGCTTTTCACACCTTGGAATAGCTACCTCTTCCTAGGCCCTAGTTCCCTAGAAAGTTGGTAGTCACAGACTGTTTTCACTTCCAATCCCAAAAAGACTGCACAATTGCGCATGCCCTGTGTATTCTGAGCCCCAGAGTGTGAGCTATATTGGCATCTCAACACTTGGTCTCAGTGTCTGTAACTCTTTCTCCCAAGGACAGCTTGGCTAGGAGCTTGGGAAAGGAAAGACTGACCTTGCTCCATTCGTTCTCTGCTTAATCTCCAAGCTGCCCTCACGCAGATGTTTGTGTGGGTATTTATGCATGCATGTGCACTAACCACAGATGTGCATACTCCTAGATACAGAACTTTTTTTTTTTTTTTTTTGCTGTGATCATGTGACAAATGGTTAGGATTTTCAGAGGCTCTGGGACTGCATATATGCAATCCATCTCAGACTGTGGGATAGTATTTCATTCCATCATTCAACATGGTGAGACTTGGTTCATTTGCCCCACAGTGAGTCCTTCCTTGGTGAAATTAAAGGCAGACCGGTTGGGTGCTAAGGATCCCTGGTGTGGAGAGGCCATTTCATTGAGCAGCAGACTGTGAAATCAATACCAGAAGGATGCGGGTCCTGGCGTTGGGAAATCTTTTCACAACTCCTTGTCCTTCTTTAGCCATGGCTATATCCCCGAAGGTCTTTCCGGCTGTGTTCTTGGGCCTCAGGGTCCCGACAAGCACAGTCATCTTGTAGGTCACAAGACATAGGAAAGGGAGTGACCTGTAGAGGGAAAGCAGTAATTATTGGTGAGGCAGTCACTAGATTTGGAAAACAGAAAATTCAAGGTCAAGCCACAGTTCTGCCTCTTCTTAGTACTATGATAACTTTTTTGAATAGTACCAGAGTCATTGTAGCAGGTTGCAATTGGAAAGGTACTTGCCATGAGTCAGACAATGTAATTTTCAGAGAAGAAAACACCAGGTCCCTTTGAAAGCTCTATAAAAAGGCTTCTATGGCAATCACCTTTTATCAGTAAAGAAATGCAAGCTGCGAAAGGGACAGGTATTTGCTCATCGTAATAGGTGATACATCCTGGTACTTGAAGTAAAACAGGATTCTTCTCTCTGAGCCTTGGTGAGGACTGGTATAATAAGATCCACTTTACAGGGGCACACTACAAGAGCTGAGTCATGTGTGAAAAATGCAATGAAGGCTACTGAAGTCAATTAACATAATCCTGCAATAGCATATCTAACACGTAGAACAATTGCGATGATCAAACTAAAAGAAAAGAAAGTGTTTAAGGAAATGTAGCTCTCTGCACAAACTGGCAAGATTTTGTTTCAGGAGGCAATGATGCAAAAGTAAGCTCAGGCAACGTTAGGCAACCTTGGAGGGTCCTGAAATCCTAAGGAGGAAGGCTTTTACATACAAGTTCTGAATTAAATTTGTGAGAAGAATCTTGGAAACAGACGTTAGCATAGGAAATGTGTGAGGCCAAAGTTCCTTCTCAGTCTATCCCTTTATGTGCTGTGACCTTGGGTTGGAAAGTGATAGAAAAAGCCCAGCAGAGTGACTATCTTCCCCATCCGGCACGTGATCCATTTTTCCAAAGAGTGCCGTGAAACCCCTGCTGAAGTCCCAGCCTGAACTAATGCAAGTCGATTTCACTGTATTGCATCATGACATTTGCTTATAACTTTCCCCAGAGGGTCCCCATCTGCGCAGATGAATTTAATGACCTCATTCGCCTCCTGCCTGGGCAGGGTCTCCGAGTGCTCATACCGGTCTCTAAGAGCATCTTCTCTTCCTTGTTCTCATGTGCTTGTAAACTCATTCTCTCTCTCTCTCTCTCTCTCTCTCTCTCTCTCTCTCTCTCTCTCCCTCTGTTCTTTCTCTCTCTCTCCCATCCTCCCACCATTGCTGTGGCTACTGAGGTAGAGACAATTTCAGTCTTGTTCATTCTTGTTTTCTCAGAGCCTAAGCCACAAAAATAATGAATTTCTATTTATTTTTCCCTCTCTCTCGCTCCACCTCTTTACGTCTACGACATCTTTATTTCACCTTTCAATTAACAGGTGTTTGATGCTGTGCTAGGCGGCTTCTGCCTATTTTCCACTCAGCACTTATCTTTTCATTTACACTTATTTGCTCTTCCTTGTTTAGGACATTTACATTCTAGCCTCGAAGACTTTGTGGCAAAAAAAAAAAAAAAAAAAAAAAAATCTAAAATGTTTTCTCTAGAATCTAAAGCATTCCTTCACAGCCTCTTAGAATTATTTTTCTATAAACTCTTCACCTTCAGGAGAAACATACAATGTTTGGAACTTAAAAAGACACAGAGAAACCCCTCTGTTCCATGTGGGGAAACCGAGTGCAGAGCCAAGTCGAATTCCAACAGCTGAGCTAGTGTAGAGAGCACCAACTGGCATCTTCTTGACTCATTCTCACCGAACAATTTGAGGAACATTCCTTCACTGGGATGTTTCTACATCTATTAAAGGAGTTTTAAAAACAACAACATAAACCACTGGGTGTCATATAGTTGTGAGGATCAGACAAGAGGAAGCACAGAGGAACCCCAGCACATGGTCCAGCACATAAGGTGTGTTCAATGCGAGGTAAAATGTGCAGATTTAGACACACATCAAAGATCATCCAACATAATCAAGTCAGCTTTTTTTCCAGAGATGTAGGAATGGTTCAATATATGTAAGTCAATAAATATAATAAATCATATAAATAGACTTAAAGACAAAAAAATACCTTTAAGTCTTTAGGAAGTCATATTTTTTGTTCTGATGGCCCTTCCCCAGTTCTTTTCTCAACCTCTTATCCTTTTTTTCTTTGGTTTGGCCAAATATGGTATCATCTCTTCCATGTGGCATCACCACAAATTACTTTTATATCCTTCCTACACAGAATTACATTTCTTAGTGTATATTTTGTTGAAAGTTTGTGCATTCCATACAATGTATCTTAATCATATTTAGACCCCACCCCTATCTGTACACCTGCCCCCCATAGGCCACTCAGGATTTCATGCATTCTGTCATAGATGGTAAGGTCTATCAAGTCAAGTCTGTGTGCTGAGATGTCCCTCCATGTGAGTTCATCCACTGGAGCCTGGTCAGCGTTAGTGTCACGCCCTTAAAGATGATTGACTCTCCCTCACCCAGCAGCAATCAGTGCCAACAGATCCTCAGCTAAGGTTACTTTTCATTTATATGTTAGATCAGCCTGGAAAAAGGCCAGGTTTACTGTTGAACTGAATCTTTACCAAGTAATAGCACTTAAGGAACCCATCACTGAATGAGCACATGAATGCATGAACAGAAAAGTAACACAAGTCAGGGAGTCTCTGCCCTTGGGGTCATTTTCTGATGACGTTCTATGAGTTACTTCCCCTCTCTGGACTTCAGTTGCCCTAAGTGCATGGTAAGTACTGGTCTCCATGGTCTCTACCTGCCCATCTGGCTGAAAATCCTTCTTAGTATGGGAAACGTGGAAAAACAAAGTCCTGACTAGAAAGGAGAGCTAGATGCCGTGGGGTTATAGGGTGTGTGTGTGTGTATTTTTCTGAGAATTGAGCCTAGGACATAACGCATGCTAGAGGTACTCTCCCACTGAGTTACCCCCACCTCCTGCCTGGGAGCTAGAAACATCGATTTTGCCCATAAACTCTGCTCTACCTGTTTCTCTTCCTGCCCTCTCCATTTCCATTTCCTTTCCAAAGTCATTGGCTGGCAGAACCCTGCCACAAGTTTGCTTCTCAACTTGGTCTGATTATGTTGGAGTGGGATTTCTGTTCTCTTTCTTACCAAGGCCAGCCCAGGAAATGTTGTCATTTTCCAAAGAGACATATTTGAAAGTGAAACATAGAACACAATAGGGTCTAGAAGGTTGAGTCTCTGAAATAGATCCAGCACCTCCTTGTGCTCACCGTGTTCTGGTAAATACAGGTATGTTAATGAGACCATGGTAGAAGTTTGGAACTCAGTTGTAGGCCTTATGATGTAGGATCCTCATAAAGATCACACGACGTTCTGGTGGGGAGTTGATGAAATCAACCCTTCTCCAAACCAGCTTCCAAGAGAATCTGATGAAAAGTTGCAAAGAGTATGCATTTTTGTGAGCTGCCTGTTCAGAGCCTATCTTCAGGTCTCTTTCTCACATACTTCCTCACTGCTTAAGGGTCTGATCCTGGCATGAGAAAGGTAGAAATTCCCAGGTTTTCATACGTTTGGTCTGAAAGAAATTGGAGAACACCTGTTTGTGGAGGTTCAAACCCTGAAAACCAGTGTATGAACACATCAGCAATGCTTGGGGGCCTTCTATAAGCCAGGTGATTTCCACGTTAAGTTGTTGACTCTGCCATTTTGGTTCAGAATTTGAAGCAAAAGCAACTAGGCTTTGGACTTAGCATTAGGTAGTAAGGGGCTAATACAAGATTCTAACTCCATTCCAAACCCGAGTGTTTAAACAAGTGAGTGCAAAAGAAAGCATTTTCTTCATAACCTGGAAGGATTGACTGCTGTCTCTTAAACCTTTGTCCCTTACGATGAACCTGGCCCTGACTAATCTCAGCATGCATTATCTCATTCAGTGCTTCCCAGCAACCCTAATAAGGCAGCTATTCTTACTACCCCTGTTTTATACCTTAGAGGAAATTAAGGTGCAAAGAAATGAGTCACTGGTTGGGAGGCAGCCAGGGATGTATCTGTGTTTGTCATCACTGTTCACTGCCATCCTCCAAGAAGCAGACAGAACAGGAGGCAGGGTCTTTTCAGTGCAGAGGGAAAACTGAGGCATAAGGAGAAGCATCATACTCTGATAAATAAACAAAACTGAGGCTGATCTCCATGTTCCCTGACTTTCCACATGGCTTCCAACCATCTCTCCCAGGTAGCCTCCCACGCAAACCTACAACACATCATAGTGACAAGGTCCTATTTGAAGATTCCCAATAACCATGTGGCTATGCTGTTCCAGTCTAGGCTAAGTTAACAAACCTGGATCAATTATTCCAAGCCAAAATTCTCTCCCTTTTCCTCTGCATTAGAGAATGGTGCTCAGGCCCAGGGTTTCTCCTCCCCACCCCCAGCAAACTACCCATGCTAACCCCTTCATCTGTGGGTATGAATAATTCAGGAATGCAGCTCAGGCAACTAACTATTCCACAAGGCTTTGGCTGTAGCCCTGGTCTGGAGCTGGGAGACAGGCAAGGGCTAGATTCTGACTCAGACTCAACAGGGAGGTAACAGAGAATGGTGTGTGTGTGTGTGTGTGTGTGTGTGTGTGTGTGTGTGTGTGTGTAGGAAACAAGAGGCGCCCTGTGCCCTGTGGTACAGAAACAAGAGGTACTCTGTGCCGGTGGTCCAAAAGCTTTGATTCTGCACCAATAGACTTGCAGTACCTTGGGTGAGTCATATCGCCTTTGAGTCGCAGGGACTTTGCACACTACATATAAATACCTAACAGGCTAAGTAAGTGAAGGCATGACATATGCAAACTCTATGTTCTTGGAGGTAAGGTGATACAGTCCCTGGAGTGGAGCATGGAGCAATCAATGAATACAGTGGCTTGTTTGAGTGTGGATAAAGTATTCACGTGAAAAAAATGGTGTAAGAAAGCATGGTTAAATGCAGGAGTGTACTGTAGAGATGAAAAGAAGATGTGGGTTTGAGTTCTTGATTGGCTTAGAGTATGCTCTTAAGCAAGTTACTTTTCTGAGCTTTAGTGTCTAGAAAGGTAAAAGTAATTCCCTGAGGAATTACTAT